TCAGAGATGAATGCCAAAGATAATTAAAGGAGTGGAAAATAGGTCCTATGAGAAAAGGTTGTGCAATTAGGGTAGAAGAAGGCTGAAAGGCACACACTTGATTACTAATTTCACGTGCATACAATTATGACATGGTTTCATTATATACACAAAAAATTAAACACGAAGAAATTAATTTAAATTAGCTTTGCTTGAACATGAATTAAAATTTTCTAACTGGATTATAAAGTGCAATCTTGATTATGTTATACCCTGGTTAAAATACGACAAACAAACTAACAACAACAACAAAATAAAACCTTAATTGACCATGTTATCTCTAGGACAACGCTGCCTTTTTTTTTTTTAAATAAAAGACATAGTTTATTAGATGATTTTTGACAAATCAAATTTCCAGTGATTTATTTTTTAAAGGGAGATGACATGCAATGATGGGTTGGAAGTTTTAATTTGTTAGAGAAATAAATTATTATAAATAAATATGATGCTACAGAAAACATATGTGCTATGTCAAAAAATAGATGAAGATAAATATGAGAAAGAAGAAAAAGAGTAGTAAACAGTGCATAGCCATGGTTGCTGATGCTGTGACCCAGATGCCCTTTTTATGTTATGTTGAAGTGTACCCTGAATCTAAAACGCTCCACCGTATAGTGACCATAGGCAGAGGAACGCTCTTACAGTGTTGTCTTCTGAACAACTCAACATTAAATAAGTCTACACTTTTTTTTAATATTTATTTTTTAGTTGGACACAATACCTTTATTTATTTATTTAATGTGGTGCTGAGGATTGAACCCAAGGCCTCCCCACTGAGCCACAACCCCAGCCCCTACACTTTTGTTTTTTGAGCTAAAATAAAATCTTTAGTAAGACGTACCTATTATTTTAAAGATTTAATTCCTGTACCATTTTGAGGAGAATTTTTAACACTTTTAATCATTAATAATTTGAAATTTGCAGGAAAGTTATAAGAGCAGCACAAACAACTTCATATATCCTTGGCTGGCTCAGGCCACCAAAACAAGGTATCATAGATTGGGTGTCTTAAACATCAGAAATTTATTTTCTCATTGTTCAAGAGACTGTGAAGTCTAAGACCAAGGTTCTCATAGGATTGCACTTCTGCAGGCAAGGGCTCTCTTCTAGCTTTTAGGTATATGGCTTGCAGAAGGCCCTCATGGCAGGGACTGTGCAACACTCATCCTTTCTTATCAGGGTCCTGCCTTTATGACCTATGACCTCATTTAACCTAATTATCTTTTTAGGCTCATTCTCCAAATACAGTCACATTGGGAGTTTGAGCTTTAAATTACAAATTCGAGGGAGGGAGATACAATTCAGAACATAATTTATCCTTTACCAAGATTTACCTACTGTTAACATTTTACCCTGTTTGTTCCCTGAAGCTTTGTGCAGGTGAGCACACACACACTCACAATTTTGTTCTACTCACTTGAGAGTATAAATGATCCTTGACTTTACAATGGTTCGACTTAAAGAGTTTTTCAACTTTATGTTAGTGTGAAAGTGACATGTATTAGGTGGAGACCATACTTTGAATTTTGGGTTTTGATCTTTTCTCAACCTAGCAATATTTATTACTGTACTCTCTCTCATTGTTGAGAAGTATCAGTGAGCCCCAGTTCCCAGTCGGGCACACCATCAGAGGAGAAGCAGCTGATAATCTACAGCATACTATGTTGCCAGCACTTTTTAGATCTTGTATTTTGTGTTTTCACATCCCATCATGTCTATGAATTTTATCTCTTTGTGTACATAAGGTATTCAATATTTTATCATAAAATAGACTTTGTAAGTCTCGATGATTTTCCCCAGCTGTAGGCTAATGTAAATGTTTTGAGCACTTTGGAGATAGTTAAGCCAAGCTATGATGTTTGGGATGTTAGGTCTATTAAATGCATTTTCAATTTACAGTGGTTTTTTTCAAGACATAACCACATGGTAAGTCAGGAGACTCTGTCAATTCCTTTACAGATAAATTCCTCTGTTTGTAAATTCTTCAGGGTACGTTTTCCAAAAATAAGACTGTGTTCTTTTGATGGTACACAGGCATCATCTTCAGTAAATTTAACAGATTCTAGCTTTTTCTAATCTATTGTCCATATTCCAGTTGTTCCCATTGACCAAATAGTGTCCTTGATAGCATTTTTTTTCTTTTCCAGTACAGAATTCAGTTGAAGTCTCTTTTGGGGGGGAGGAGGATACTAGGAATTAAATCAGGGGTGCTTTACCACTGAGCTGCATCCCTAGACCTTTTTATTTTTTTCTTTTGAGACAGGGTCTTACTAAGTTGTTAAAGGTCTATTTAAGTTGCTGAGGTTGGCCTTGAACTTGGGATCCTTCCCCCTCAGCTTTCAGAATCTTTGGGATTGTAGGCATATGCCACCACACCTGCTAAAGCCTATGCCTTTAAAATGCCATCCAAAGTCCTCCAAAATAAAACTCAGGGATTGTTTCCTTGCAGTTTCATGTTCCCCACCTTCTCCCCAGTTCCAGGTTAAGCCCCTATGCCTTCATTTCTATTCCTTGGAATGTTAGAACCCCTATCTGCCACACACAAAAAAACCCCTACTTTTTCTGACTTAATTTGTTTTTGACACGGTTTTCTTACTGCCTCCTGAACTCACATGGGATTTACCCAGTTGGAAGCCAAGGGGACTTTCTCCTTCCCCTTCCCACAGCTGACACCCTAACCAAACTTGGAATACCTTAGTTTGTATTCATAAGGAGTATATAGCCTCCCACTTTTATTTCCTGCTTTGAGATTCTAAGTTCTTTGAAAGAGGGGACCATATTTTTATTGTTCTTTGTATCCCCAGAACTTAAATATAGGATCTGTCACATAGGAGGTGCTTCATAGGTATGTATTAATTAGCAGCAGAGTACATCACTGTAAAGAGCTGCCTAAGGAAATTGTAGAGTCTGATCCTAAAGGGTTTTAAGAGGAAACCTCTAACCAGTGGTCTTAAAATGGTTCCAGGGGAAAGAGGAATGAGTAGGTCCTCGCTAGATCTCCAGAGTCCCTTTCAGTTATATGTGGAGTATGGTGAAATCAGTCATGACCTTGTTTTTCTTTAGGCTTCTCAATCTCACACATACCCTTCAGGAGAACATAGTCTAGATTTTTAAATTTTAAAAAAAATTTGAACTAATTTTAAACAGAAAGTTTACAAAAATAGTACTGCAAGTTCTAGAAACCCTTCATCCAGCTTCTAATACTAAAATCTTAGATAACCATAGAATGATGATCGAAAGCAGGAAATTAATGATGGTCTTGAACTTAATCACTTGGGTAAAGGGGTTTCTGCTGAATTTCTTCTTGTGAAATTACCATCTTTCTCCTTGAAGTTAATAATTTATCTTAGAGATTCTCCAAGACTATGCAGATATCCTGTTAATCCCATCCATTGGTATTTGTACCCATCAATGTTCCTTGCATGAAACAAATCTTATTTTCTTTATCTAATAGTGAATTTCTTATTCTTCTCTTTCCTTCTACATTTATTGATGGGAGCTTGTCTCAAATGAGAAGCTGCATGTGCACGATTAAAATATTTTGAATTATTATTGACCACAGTGTTAAAATTAAAATATAAATAAAATCTTTTTATTTAAGACAATATAAATTCCTTTGACTGGTATTGTGAATTTTCATAATTGGTCTATCAATAATAAGTGTGTAACAACAGAATTTGCATTATAAAATAGATGCACTTGTTCATTTTAGTGACTAGTACTTGTGAAAACTGCTGAATAGCCATTCTAAATGTATACTATAAATAAAGGACTTTCAAAGATTCATACCCACATTTAAAGAATTAAATTACAAACTCTAGTTTCAAATCAATTTAGAAACTAACAAATGTTATATTACTTCTCATATGCTTTTAATGCTTCTTTGTATAGATACTGGTCTAACAATCCATGCATTCTATATCTGGAAGTGAACTATAAATTTAATTATTATGAAGACACTAAATAAATATGATATTTGTTTTGAACAAAAAAAAAAAAGAGAAGCTGCATGGACTGTATTTGATGATACAGAATGTCAAATCCTTCCAGTCATTTCCTATCTTTTCATTCTTCAGATTATTAGTTTGACAGTCATATATATTTTTTAAATATACCTTTATCATTCTTATTTAAGCATTTACATGTTGTTAATATTGTATAAAGTCATTGAAATTATTTCAGTTTTTTTAAATTACAGACTGATTGACTCTCAATTATATAAGTGAAAAAAATCAGCGACTTATTATTTTAAAAAACCACAAAACTGAGTTATATTAAAAGGGGCATACTCTATAGATCTTGAATTGTTAGTTCTTTGTTTAGCTTCTAAATGTCTAGTTGTAAAAAAAAAAAAATACTGTTGATGCTTAGCCACAAAGAGTTTATGGAGTACATGCTGATTCTCTTTTTGTTTAACTTAATGTTAGCCTTCTGTGGCTTTTTACATGTTTACATGGTTAATTGTAGCTGAAATGAACCTAACAGTATATTTAGGACTAATTTTCATAAGTCAGCAATTTTCACCAACCATAGTTATTGGGAAGAGTTTGCTCAGAATGGTCAGCAGAAAAGCATTGAATTGGAGCTGATTCATTTCATTACTTTCTAAGCATGGTATCTCTAGTTTTATAAAGTGTTGGAAAAGAACATTATTTAGACCATGGGTTAACAGTTTTTTTTCTGTAAAGAGCCAGACAGTAAAGACTTTGGAAGCCATACAGTGTCACAAACATCAACTTTGCTGTTGTAGCCACAGACAGTCTGCAAGTGTGTGGGTATAACTCTGTCCCAATGAAACTTTATTCACAATACTGGGTGGTGAACTGGGAGTTACAGTTCACTGACCCCTGATTTAGATTATCAAAATATAAAAACTCAAAATGTATATTAGCATTTGTCCTTGTCTCATTTTTTTCTCTATAGGCAGAAGACTGATCTTTGAAAATATGTATTTGGGAGATAGTCACGTTCTATTGAATACCTTGTGCTGTTGCTGCCATCGAAAAATCTGGTTACACTCTGGGGAGGCCTGCTACCACTGCAGGACTGAACCGCCGCGGCCCTGAGATGAGTGTCCGGCCTGAGCAGGCACACCATGAATAGATACACAACGATCAAGCAGCTTGGGGATGGAACCTATGGTTCCGTCCTGCTAGGAAGAAGCATCGAGTCTGGGGAACTGATTGCCATTAAGAAGTAAGTTGTATCCTTCACTTTTCTGACATCATCTTTAGCTACATGTTGTCAAGATAGTTTCCACTCCACCTTCTCCAGTCCTGGTCTTAGGAACAATCTTAAAGGGGAATGGGGGGAGGGTGTGCAGAAGAACCTTAGCTGATGACTACTATGGATTATACTATGGATTAGATGAGTGTATTAATGCTGTAGTACTCTTGTTAGAGGCCTTCAAAATCTCCACTTTAGACTTACTTACCACTTACTGGTTACTACTTACCACTTGGAAAAAGTACTAGTGAAGTACTAGTACTGTCTATATGCACTAGTACTTTTCCATAGTATTTTATCATCTTGTAAACAGATGAATAAACATCATTTTACAGGAGAGGATACAATTTCTGTGCTTGTGTATTTACATGTGTGGTGATCTGATGACTTCTGTCTTGTTCCCTCTACCTTCTTGATCTTTGCAGCCAGTGTCCAGACATATTATGTAGTTATCTGTTGCTGTATAATAAGCTACTCCAATACCTAGCAGTTTAAAACAACACATTTATCATCTTTCGGTTTCTGTGGATCAGCACATCTTAGCTGAGTTCTCTAGTGTAGGGATAGTGTTTTAAAAGGGTGCAGTCAAGGTACTAGCCAGGACCAGGGTCTCACTGAAGGCTGGACTGGGGAAGAACTCACTCCCAAACTCACTCATATGATTACAGGAGCATTGAATACGTAGTGTGTTGGACTGAGGGCCTCAGTTCCCTGTTGGCTGTTGGCTGGAGGCTGGCCTTTAGTTCCTTGACCTGGGGGGGCTCTTCAAGAGCAACTCACAGGATGATAGCTTGCTTTAGAGTCTTCTAAGGTAGAAGTGTTATCTTTTCCTTTTATAAACTAATCACAGAAATGACATCCTCTGAAATTGCTATATTGGTTAGAAGCAAGTCATTGAAGGAGAAGGGGGTCACATGAGGCTCTAATACCGGGAGTGGGAGGTCTTTGGGATCCACATTAGAGTATGCCTGCTGTGCTCATCTGTGGTCAGTTGCCTTCCTGCCAGCTGTGTTTGGATGTCCTGCAGACATTGCAAATGCATCAGACTGAACTCATATTCAACCTACTCTTCCTCTCTTACCCCAGACTTTTTCTCTATCAGTATTCCTCCTGTTCATAAATGATACTACCATCTCTTCAAAACCTGAGAATCCTCCTGACTTCCCTCCCCTTATGCCTCACCTTTGGTCACCTAGTCCTGTCAATTCTACCAATCCCTTGTCTAATCCTCCTACTTCTCTGTATTCCCACTGAAGGCCTCATTAACCCCTTCACCAACTGACCATTAGGTCCTCTGCAGGGCTGCAGGTTTCCATTCATTCCCCTCTTCCTACCAGACTGAAGAGATTATCCTAAGCACATGAATCTAATTGACTAAAACCATTTGCAGCAAGCCTTTTTTGAGTCCTGCTGCCCCATCACAGCCCCTGATCCCCCCTGACTTTCAGTGTCCCCAATAGGCCTGAGCCCCACTTGCCCACCTTGGTACCAGCTCAGTCATGTGCTGCTTATTGAGCTTCCTGTCTCTTCACCGTTTCTCTGCTCTTTGCTCTGACTTTCTGGAATCATCTCCTAAATAAACTATCTGTACCCGAGTCCTTGCCTCTGCTTTTGGAGGAGCGTACAAACTAGATTGCTTTCAATGTCTTCCTGTCAGTTTTAGGACTAAGAACTACATTTTAAATGTGACCTACAAATTGCTGCATCATTTGACTGGGTCCTGTTTGCTTCAGCCTTGTCTCTTGTCACTGATCCCTTGCCTATTTTTTGCTTCGGTCTCTGCTTCTTGAACTCCTCAATTACCTTTCTGCTTAGATCCTTTATTTCAGATGTCCACTTCATTTCTCCTACTAAATTCTTCTCATCCTTCAGGTATGGGTTGAAATATCTTTTCATTAGAGAAGTGTTCCCTGATACCTAAGACTAGATTCCAACCCTCTGAGATCCATTCTCATATTGCCCTATGTCTTTTCTTCATAGCACTTAGTGCAGAAAATTATTGTTTACCTCCTACTACAACCATTAGTTCCAGGAGAGACATCTTTCTCATCACTTTACCCCTAGTGCCTACAAAGTCCCTACCACATAGAGGAGATAAATAATATTTACCATGAATAAAGGAATTGACCACTCAACCAGGAAACACTGTGACAAGGGAAAATGTGTTGGAGTGATCTGGAGAGATGGAGGTTGGTCTGTTAGTAACCAGCAGTGGGAAAGCTGTGTACCTTCTCTGTATCTTGCTCTCCTCATTTATTCCATCTGTTTCACAGGGCAGCATAAAAACAAATGAGTGAGTATGACTGTGTTCCCATAAACTTTCATTTATGGAAACTAAATTTTGATTGCATATAATTTTCACATATTACAAAATATTATTCATCTTTTGAGTTGTTTTCCCCAATTAAATTTAAAATGCAAATGCCATTCTTAGCTCATCGACTACATAAAACAAATGTTGGGGTGGATATGTCCTGTGAGTCATCATTTGCCCACCCTGTACTAGAGGGTCTAGAACTGTGCTGTCCAATATATTAGTGAGCTACCATATACAACATTTAAATTTAATTGAAATTAAAATTCAGTTCCTACATTGCACTAGCCACATTCCAAGGGTTCAGTAGTCACAGATCTAGTGGCTACTATACCAGACAGCAGAGAACATTTTCACCAACACAGAAAGCTCTGCTGGACAGCTCTGATCCAGACAGAAGCAGCCCGAGAGATTTCCCTCCAGGACAAGTTAGCGCATTAGTAGTAGAGAAAGTCCAGGCTCTTTGCACTGTACCATATCACCACTGCTGGGCAATTTTGTGACTTAGGCTTGATTGTAATGTCAACATTTAACAACACTTTTTAAAATGTTGTTTTGGATGCTATATTATTTGGTAGAAATTGAAACCAACTTCAAGCAGTATTGACTAGGTTCAGAATGAAAATGCTTTTTTTAAAAAAAGTTTATTTTGGGAAATAAGTATGCTGTTTCTTTCTTCTCTTCTAGAATGAAAAGAAAGTTTTATTCCTGGGAAGAATGCATGAATCTTCGGGAGGTTAAGGTATTTATTAACATGTCAGGAAATAATTTTTGTTTGGCCAATTAAAATAGATTTATATTATCATTAGGTTTATAGTTGATACAGTCAGTCTGTTTGTATTTTTTTCACTAATGCTAACAATGTGGGCAAATGATACAGAGTGTTTTAGTCAGCTTTTGTATTGCTGTGACCAAAATACCCAACAAAAACAACTTAGAAGAGGAAAGTTTATTTGGGGCTCATGATTTCAGAGGTTATTAGTCCAGAGATGGCTGAATCCATTGCTCTAGGCCCAAGGTGAGGGCCCAGCAGAGGAAAACTGCTCAGTTCCTGGTGAGGTCAAAAAATAGAAAGAGAGGAGGGGGAGGAGCTGCAGGACAGATGCACCCTTCCAAGACACACCCCTATGACCCACCTGCCTACAGTTACCATCCAGTCAGTCCATTCACTAGGAAGGACTGATTAGGTTACAGCTCTCACAGTTCAATCATTTTATCTCTGAACATTCCTGCATTAACACAGAAGTTCTGGGGAGAACCCTATATCCAAAACATAATATATAGCTATTAGCTGAACACAGAAGATTATTAGGTTATTGTATTAGTGAATGTACTGTTAATAGAAAGTTTTACCTTTACTGGAATACTTATGTCAATATATTTCAATACAAATAAGTTGAGAGTATTGATTTAGTGAATTATTGTTGCCTCTAAAGGTGATCATTGCTGGAACCTTACCTTGTTTGTGTAGTTTTCTTCCTGGATATAACAGCAGTACCAATTTTAGTTTCTTGCTCTAATGATGCGTGCTCTATTTCTGTGGTGGAATTCTTGGATCAAGATGTGAGTTGTGTCAGCATTGCGTAGCATATTTCTTCACATTTACTCAGCCTTCCGGCTAGGGTAATCACTCCTTTCCTTCTTCCTTTTCTTTTTTATTTCTATTTTAATTCTATTTTTTCTGTCCAAGTAGATTGACCACTTTGGTTTTGCATGTGTAGTTCTCTTTCTTGTGCACCTGAGTGGTGTTTCATCCACTTAATCTTCTCATTCAGCTCTATTAGAGATGCTAGTAGAACATTGGAACCAGTTCTGCCTATTCTTCCAGGGGACTCCTGTACATTGAGGAGGTTTCAGGTTTAGAGCAAAGATCTGCCGTCTCTTCCTATAAAGGGTCAGACAGTAGATCTTTTAGACATCATGGACCAAAAGGTCACATAGGGGATATAAGGATATATGTAACAGGATTAAAAATTTTCACAAAATCTTCATTTATGAAATATAAAGTATAATAATAATAGACATCATTTTCTTATCTCATGATATCATTTTTTGTATTCATCCAATGAGATGAATAATATTCTTTTGTGAGGGGACATCATATGGAACTTAATTAGGTTCAAAGTTAGTGTTTTCTGCTGTCAAATTCTTAGCTCATGGACCATACAAAAACAGGTGGTGAGCTGGATTTTCCCCATGGTTCAGAGTGTGCCAGCCTCTTGCTTATAGAGTATAAACTCTATAGATCCAAAAACATGAGTTGGAAAAAAAGGATGATCCAAGGACATTTTCTCAGTGATATGAAGCTCTGAGAGATATCCTTGGCTTAGATGCTAAACCTTTCCTTTTTTGTACAACTAACAGTGTGTTAGTTTTCATGGAAGAAGATCACTCACACAAACAGCTTAGAAAAACACAGCATCTTGGGAAGCAAGTGACTGCTTGTCAAGATAGTTGAGGGCACTGCTCCTTATCTGGTGACCACCATCATTCCCTACTCTTATCTTGCCTGCACAGATGCTACGTCTCCTGCAAGCACAGTCTTCCTCACCCCACCTACCCCTGTTGATCCTCACACAAACTTACCAGCATTGGGCCAGAGCCAGCCATGGAATATGGAGGGGAGGGAAGGGAAGGAAGAAGGAGTAGAAAGGAGGTACCTTTCTTCATGTTCTTCATCCCTTCCTCCTTGCTGAAGTCCTTCTCTTCTGCTTGCTGATGCAGAAGGGGATTGGAAAGGAGTCACTAGAGGACCTTGTTTCCATTTGTCCTGCTTAATTCCAGCAGCAAGAGGAAATGAAGAAAATTCTGCACTTTGGTACTCATTATACAATGGTTCCTTCTTCATCTCTTTTCTTTTGCATTTCCATCTGCCATCTATCCCCACGTGTACCTGTCAAGATTCTGTAGCTGATGACCTAATACGAGGACAGGAATCCTGTCTCTGTGATATCCCAGTGACATTTTTCTTTGAGCATTGTCTTACGAGGTGCTGTGGTGTTCCAGCTGCCATTCTGAGGTAGCAGGGAGCCTGCAGCCTGCCTACTGTGTTCCAGTGCTGTTTGTTTGTTTAACCATTTTAACTTCTGATGTGTTAGATCCTTGATCCACCAGTGTTCCCTCCCCATATCTTTAAGCTCTTCCTTTACAATGACTTCTTCCCTCCAGTCTATAAGTATGCCCACCGTTCTCCCCATTCCAAACAAATCTCAACTTTCTTCCTCCTTGGTCTTCCACCTCTTTCCTTTCTTTATCTTATGTTTTAAACTTCTCCCTTCAGTGAGCTTTACGTACCATTTACTTTTCAACCGAATTAAATCAGTCATCTTCCTCTGCAACTTTACCAAAGCTTCAAGATTCATCAGAACAACTCAACGTTTTTATATCTGGAACAGATATTATATTATAGAACAGTTTGACCCCTGCTCACTTCTCTAACCAAATTCTTCCAGATAAGCCTCCTTCAGAGTCAAAATGGATGAATCTTATCCTTCAAGTCTGCAGCATAGAGTCTATTCCATTCCCATGCCTTACACAGAATAAGCTTTCCTTATGAGGACTCCTTCCCTCCCTATGCACTTGTCTGGATGTAACTCTTATTTCAGTAACATCCTGGAGATGCTCTCAATGGCCACCCAGTTTTTGCTAATTACTCCTGTTTGAAATACTTCTAATGTTTCTATCATTCCTGTGATATGATAATTAATATGACTTTCCTTATTCTGTTACATGGATTTTGAATTTATGCACTGTCTTCCCAATTACATTGTTTGCCTCTTAAGAGCAGACACTGTGTCTTATTTATGCCTCAGAATATTATGGGGTCTAGTACATTGTAATTTTATTTTATTTTTGGTACCAGGGATTGAACCAATGAACCACATCCCCACTCCTTTTTTATTTTTTATTTTGAGCCAGGGTCTCATTAAGTTACTTAGGACCTTTTCTCAGTTCCTGAGGCTCGCTTTGAACTTGTAATCCTCCTGCTTCAGCCTCCAAGGTACATTATAGTTTTAGATCCATCCCTGTGGATCCATCCCTGAGGAGGACAGAATTGATTATATCCAACTGGAATCTTCATCCATGGGGACTGTCCCTACGTGGACTACTTACTAGGTTTGCTTTGCTATGTATTCTTCTCTGCTCTGATACAGGTGACCTGCCTCTACTGCTTCTTTGAAATCCTTTCATAAGCCAAATAAGGTGCTTCGTTTAGAAATACATCTGTGTAAAGTTAATCATGTGAAGTCCTCCACACAAAGTTTATTCTTTTTATATTAGACTACTATAGACTTTAACTTGTTCATAAGCTCACTTAGAGACAAGAACTCTTGCCAGACACAGTGGTACACATCTATAGTTTCAGCTATTCAGGGAACTGAGGCAAGAGGATTGCAAGTTCTAGAACAGCCTTAGCAAATTAGCAAGACTGTGTCTCAAAACCAAAAATAAGGGCTGCAGATGTAGCTCAATGGTAAAACACCCCTGAATTTAATCCTAGTACCACCAAAAAAGAAAAAAAAAAGAAAGAAAAAACAAGCAAGCAAGGAAAATAAAAAGAGAGAGAGAGCTGTGAGCCACCCTTAGACTTGGGCCAGTAATTTGTGCTCAAAACAGACTTTAGGCTGAGAGCTAAAGGTATTGCACTACTTACACAGAAATCTCTTCTAGAAAAGCTCTAAAATTGACTTTGTTTTTTCTAGATGAATTTGCCCTGAGGCTGCTTATCCAAGGACTATCTCCCCTACTGTTTGTGATGCATTTTAAGCAAACAGTCAGAAAAGAAGGCTACAGTCAGGAGAGTTAGTGAATGCTTAAAAGTTAAGCAATGTTGATGTTTGTTACTCATGGAGAACCAGGAATTCAACCCAACTAAAAGAAATAATCATCCTGGTTGGGTCATTCTGGAAGGATCTGGCCAAGACAGTTGAGAATCTGTGCCAGAGAAATGTCTTGGCATGAACTTGTCTTTGGGGAGAAAGTTCCAGAATAGTCTTATTGTGTCCTCATTCACTGACCATACTCCATCTCTCTTCCCAGCTGCTTGAACTAACTTGATCATATTACACATTCCCAAACTCTGATCCCTTGAGTACCTTGTTACTGAATATCCTTCCAGATTTGGATATTCATTTTTTAACATTTCCATCTTTAAACATTTTTTTTTTCATTTTATAAAAGGGATGTTCTTTTAAATGAAATTCAAAGATAAAGAGGGTGTTATAATTTGTTATTAATGGACTCACTGCTCTATGAGGAAAAGGCTGTTGGAACTAAAAGGTTCATTTTACTGACCAGAGTGAACCTTGGAAGCTTCCTTGAAGGAGTCAGACTATCAAATTCTGATCATCCCAGGAGCAAACTGACAGTTGGGTGTCTCTGGATGTTGTGTATGAACAGGATTGCTGCTCACCAATACAGGTTTTATTCACCACTAACAGAACTGATGATGCAAACAGAAAGAAGTGTACACCTGGCTATGCTCACACGAACTCACAAAACGACACACGTGTGAGCATGAGTGACCATGTCGTACACCATTTTCTGTAACCCCCTCTTAGTCCTAATCTACCGCCTGACTTTTTTATCTTTGCTCTTGGAAGCAGAGGAATTTCTCTCATCTTACTGCAGGTCCTTTCCCATAAGGTATCTCTTTCCTCCTCTGTAATTAAAACTCACATTGTAAGAAGGAGCCTTCTAGGTCTCATGGACACACGTGTCAGACAGAAGTCAAGAGAATCAGGCTGTCAGCCTCAGTCTATTTGAGCAATATTCTATTTAAAGTCTCTGTACACTGTTAGCTGGTGATCTCAGCCCAAAGCAGCTGCATTCTCCAGTGCTAGAAAATTCAAAGCCTCAGCTTTCTTTATTGGTTCCCTTCTGGCTATTTCCACAGCCTGAATGAATTCCATGGTCTGGAGGGGGTGAGCCTAAAATAGCCCTGGCTTATTGCCGGGTGCTGGGTGCAGCCAGGAATACCAGTTACTGATGGAATGGAGACTTATCTTCTAGTCGGTTCATCAAAATAGTTTTTCTGGGGGCTGGGGTTGGGGCTGTGGCTCAATGGCAGAGCACTTGCCTAGCACATGTGAGGTCCTGGGTTTGATCCTCAGCACCACATAAAAATAAACAAATAAAAATAAAGGCATGTTCTCCATTTACAACTACAAAAATTTTTTAAAATATTTTTTCTAGGTAAAGTTACTATTGATTTCAGAGAAAAACTGGTAATTACATTAAGAATAAAATATAACTTATGGCATGTGTGTCTGTGGTTCTAAAATTAGGCATTTCTTCCTGAGCACACATAGGATTAATTTTCTTTTTCAACAACAGATTTTCTCTAAATTTTTTTGTGTTTTTCTTCTTCATGTTTTAGTCACTGAAGAAGCTTAATCATGCCAATGTAGTAAAATTAAAAGAAGTTATCAGGGAAAATGATCATCTTTATTTTATCTTCGAGTACATGAAGGAAAATCTTTATCAGCTCATTAAAGAAAGGTAAAACCCTTTGGTCATCATGATCTTAGAAACAAATATTGCAAAGTGGATGTGCTTTCTTTCGCCTTTTGATTATCTCAGTCTCCCAGTTATTTGTCTGGTCATTTAAAGGTCAAGCTACTGGGCCTCTGGGAAGTTGTTCTCAGGGCAACAGTTTTCAGATTTTAAAGATTTAATCCCCCAAAAGAAGCTCACAGAGCTTACAGACTATCTGCAATTCTGCTTTCCCACAAGGATGTATGGGCAGAGCAACTACAAGTTGGGGTGGACACAGCTTCATTTATTTTGAGACCTCTGTTGAAAAGTTCTAGGTTTATTTTGGCTCCTGACTTGCTACAGTGCTTAGGTGCTTGCATGCTGGGAAAGGGAGTCTAATAAAAAACTTACCTGCTATGGTAATTTTGAACTTTGAAAGTAGACTGTATAGAACCTCTTGGGCACACTTTCTTGGTGGCAAAGTGAATGCCATCCAGAGCATCCCTTTGGGGGCTTTGAGTGAACAAATATCATCTCGATTGTCAACAACAGCACGGGGGCTGTGAGGTTTGCCTACCAGAGAAAAATGTTAGCATCCATTACAGCTCATAAGGGCTTTATCTAAAAGACCTCAAACTGTTCCCACTAAATTTTTTTAAAGTTTTAACTTATAGCACGAGAAACTTTGGGGTTTTTATATGTTACATTGGAGGGATTTCTGGTATTGTAAATTTTATATTTGATGTTTATAAGGTATCTCCCTTGTATGGACAAATGATTGTTTTTCTTTGGTATTTATTATCAAACGATCTGACCCAAAATTAGTATACCAGCAATTTTTTAAAAAATTCCTTACTATGTAATCAAAAGGATATGAATGCAGGAGTTTCTTTTTAATACATAAACCCAGATTTATAACTTCATATTCCTCTATCCCATACAGAAACAAGTTGTTTCCTGAGTCTGCTATAAGGAATATCATGTATCAGATATTGCAAGGACTTGCATTTATTCACAAGCACGGTAGGTGATGGATGTGGAGCATTGTGCGTTAAAATAGCAGTGAAATATCAAGTAGAAGATGTAGGAAGCACTAGTGTCTTTTGTAACTAACCCCCAGAAAAGGCTGAAGAGTCAAGAGGCTGATAATGAATTTTGAAATATATTATCTTTTGGAACTTTATTTCCGAGTTTTCTTCAATTGTCATGTCCTTGTGTTTTTACTCTTTTAAAAAAAAAATTTATTACTGCATTTTAGTTATAGGTGATAGTGGAATTCATTTTGACATATTCATCTATGCATGTCGTGTTTTTGTTCTTCAAGTTTTAACATTATGATTGTTAGTTTAGACCTAAGAATTATCCTGACCAGGTGTATTAATAAGAAACTTCGAATTAGATTTCTGAGACATTTCAGGTGTTATGTTCAACCCACTAACATCCCTCCCTTGTCGCTTCTCATTTTTCTAAGCTATTTGTATTTCAGTTTGTTTTGAAAGGGTTTAAAAGTGAAAGTGGCCTAACATACCATTTGTGTGATACAGGAAAATAAAATAAATTAAAAATTAGCAAAATGAAGAAAGAAGCAAAAGCAAAATAGGGCATAGATAGCCAGGCGTGAGTTTAATCCTTAAGATGCATATTAGCAACTTTTATTTCAGTAGAAGCAGGCCACAGATTTGGTTCTGAGCTTCATTTCATATCAAGCAAAATGTGAAACTTGACCAATTAAAACATATATTATTTCCCTGAGGTAAGAACAGATCAGTTGCACAAGAGAAGCAGAACTACTCTTTTTTTTTTTCCCCCTGGGTGCTAGAGATTGAACTCAGGGGCACTCAACCACTGAGCCACATCCCCAACCATATTTTGTATTTTATTTAGAGACAGGCTCTCACTAAGTTGTTTAGCGCCTCGCCCTTGCTAAGGCTGGCTTTGAACTTGCCATCCTTCTGCCCCAGCCTTCAGAGGAGGTGCTGGAATTATAGGCAAGAACTATTCTTGATACCAAGACCAGAGAGAAACTTGACCCTTTAGAGGGATAGTATGTTACATGACTTTGTAGAAAACATAGTGATGTTTGTGTAGGACAGCTTTGTGTCATATTCCTCAATGTAGGCTAATTAGATCACCTTTAGAGACAATAGGGATGATCCATTAGTATGGGGAGAGATTTAGACTATCTAGAGGAAAAGACAACTCTGTATGCTTCAGGAAATTCTCTATTTTGATTTTTCTTCTTAGCTGAACTTTTGAAAGTTTTTAAGCAGCAATGAGTTTGAGGCTGTAGTATCTAGCACCTACCTAGGACTTGGCTGGTCTCTGTTACTAACTGAATGCAGAACCCACATGGGGTTAGATCAATAACCATGTGAGCACAGAGCTGCCAGATGGACGTATCTATGTATGGAGCCAGAAGTCCTCTGAGAAGGTCATCTGAGGTCATTTAAACATACAGACAGATAGGCAAGTGACTGATTTTGCACAGGCCGAATACATTCACTGTTAGTCTGAACATGTTGTTGGTGTTGCAAGAACTGCACCAACAAATGAGTTTTGTTACTCAATAAGGTGACTTGAATTGAAACCCTTTGACAACACCATCAGTTTAGATTTGATGTAAATTGGCAGTGAGGAGAAAAGTCTTGTGTTGCACAGGTGGCACAGTGCATCTGGGATCATTACCAGCTTTCTCTTCACCCCTTAAGTAGCCCCTCACAGAGATTAAATGGAACACAAGTGGCTAAACACAGGCTATCCACGCAAATCCCTGTCAGCCTCAGGCAAGTGCAGAGTGGTCAGCATGACCCAAGCAAGACTGAGTTTAATCATGAACCAGTTCTAGTAAAAAGCATCTAGTACAATTCACCTGTGATTCATTCCACTGATATTCATGCACATTCACTTTGGCCCTTGTCCACAAGCAATCACAGGGGATAGTATGAATTTGCAAAACACTAAAAACTTTTGACATGTTGTCTTAGAGACAAATAGAAGGGCACTTACTAAATTTAAGAGCTTAAGGAAAAGAAATGATGAGATGTCAAAGGGGTTTTTCAAAAGACAAAGGTCAACCAGCTTGCTTTCAGATGGGTTGATCACAGCATTTTAGCTCTTCAGACTGTTTGCTCAGTACTAGAAACCAAGTGGACCTAAAAGAAAGTAAATATTCTTCAGCTTTCTTTTCTTTTCCTTTTTGCTACTTGTCACAAGACCCAGATATTTGTTGCCAGGAAGAACTTGCAGGCTTTCATTCAGGTCTTTACCTAATCAAATGGATATCTATATGTCTGTATACATATATAGAGAGATTGATTCCCCATCCCCCATTTTGGGGATTGAATCTAGGGGTGGTCTACCACTGAGCTACATCCCCATTAGTGAGATGGAGTCTCAGTAATTTATTGAAGCTAGCCTGAAACATGTGATCCTCCTGCCTCTGCCTCCTGAGTTGTTGGGATTATAGGTATATGACACCACTATGGTTAGAATCCGTATCTATATACAAACACATACACACCACACATAGCCCCCCAAATACATGTGTATGCATATATATATATATATATATATATATATATATATATACATCCCATCCATAAGACCACATAGTTATATGTATCTACATATATACTCATCCCATATACACAAATATACATGCATGTACAAACATATATATATTTAAAATAAAATTTAACACCATTTATCAAAACAATCCTTTGGAACACTGTCCTTGCATGCCTTAGACACTTGCACTGTGTAGAAATGGTTCAGGGGAAGGCTCAGCTAATGGAGAAGATCAGACCTCTGCTTTTATAACCTTAGTACCTTTGCCATTACCAAAGATTCTTTTGGACACTTTTCCCTGGCAGTCATGTATACAGTTCTACTTTGAGCTTAATAAAGCTTCATCTGTTACCTTATTTATCTCCTCCCAACTTCTCAGGTAAAGAGAACAGATGGTGTCTGTTCCTATCAAAGAAGTGGAAACTGAAGTTCAGAGAGGCTTAAAAACCAGAGGTTCCATGCAATAGAGTGTTAGAGTTCAGATCGTCTGTGCCCATCTGCCATGCTTCACTAGAAAAACCTGTCTGTTCTCAAAGAGAACAAGAGAGTATGAGATGAAGAAAATAATGATTTTAAGTGGGATTGATACTAATTGTACAGGTCCTGTTTTATGGTCATTCATAAATGATTTTTAGAAATTCATATGGCTTTCAAATGGTATTGACTTGACTTTAGCTAAGTTTGCATGCATTTCTGTATTATTTCTTTCCTCCAGTGATGGGAAAAATATCTAAAGCACTTCACAGAGTTGTCTTGTGAGTCTCAGACTCTTCCCTGGTAGCTCGTTCTCACTGTAGGAAGGTACATTCTGTCCCTGGGGAATAGACTCCTCTGAGAGGGAAGAACAGCACTGCAGGTAGTTGCTATGGCCATATTTCATGTCACTGAGTATTCCCCCCGCCCAGTGGGAATGAATACACAGCTCTACTTGGTACTGATTGAACAATGTCAAAGCATACATACTTTGAAGAAATTAAATAACTAAAGCAAACTGGCCATTTCATCCTTGACCTGCCCTTGTAAATATCTAGGTCATACTTCCCCATGCAGGTAATAGAAATACACTAGATGGTTTGGAGGACAAAGTTTTGCCCCAAGAGGTGGTTCTCTGCTTCTTTGTCTTACTACTATCTGGCTGAGCATGACCTACACACAGTTCTTTACATTTCTGTGCTTGCAGTTCTTATGGTCTTCTAGGGAAAACAATTATTGGCGTAAACTCAGTTTTTATCTAAAATTAAAACATCTACAGCAGGAAGGTGGGCTACATAAATTCATAGTGTTTAAATATTCTCTGGTCATTTCCGTATGTTTATATCAGATTCATTAATGAATTAGAATCCCTTAATGAATTATAACAGTGTGGTACAGGGAAAAGCCTTGAGTTTTCCTTGCCCATTTGTTATCAACAAAAAAAGTCAGCACAACAAATTTTCTGCCAAGATGAAAGGGAAAATCCCTTTGTTGTTCAACTGACATGCAGCCTCCTGAACTTAAATTGTAGGTCTGTTCCCAGTTTTGAACAAGAAGGCTCTTATAAAAACAGCACTCTGCTGTGGTGTGATCTCTGAATTACCCAGCTATAAGGATTTCCATTGTCAATTAGGAATCCAGAGGAAAAAATGGGCCCATTGTTATGGCCATATTATTGCTCATCAGCAGAACACATATCCTGCTAGGAATCAGATCAGAGTTGTCCTGCTACCATAACAATGTTAAGTGGGATGGATACTAATTGTGCAGGGCCTGTCCCATGTTCATTGATAAATGATTTTTTAAAACTTTTATGGATTTTGTTGGTTGACTTTGGTTAAGTGCATATGTACCTGCTTATTATTTCTTTCCTTCAGTAATGGAAACAAAATACCTAAAGCCCCTCACAGTTGGAGCACATCAGTAGCCTACAAGCCTTAATTCTTAACTGCAAAAAAAGATGGTTGTATGCTTGTGCATTCTGACAGATTGTTCGGCGGGTAAAATGAAAGAATTTTCTAATGCTAATACTAATAATGACTAGTTCTTCCAAGGTGCTGATGTGCCAAGCACCATACTAAAAGCTTTATAAATATACTTAATACTGTAAAACAACCCCATGACGTATGTGCTATTTTCCCTCCAGGTAGGGAAACTGAGACAAAGTTAAGTGATTTTTTTTAGTCAGTTAGTAACAGCATTGGGATTTGAAATGAGGTAACCTGGTAGGTCTGTACACTTAACTCCTAAGCTGTTTTGCTTTTGACATTAAAATAGTAATGTTTTGTTAAAACAGAAAAAAAATCACTCTGTATGACATAAGGGTCTTATACTTTTAATTCTAAGAGATAGAACTCAGGGGCATAAGGCTAGTAAAAGCTAATTGTGATCTTATTCAGTAATTAAGAGGGTTAGATATTCTACAGACATATCCATGAATGTATCATAAAGGCTTATACCTGAAGACTGTATAACAGGTATAACATAGTTTTCAACAGTCACTTTTAAGAGTCTTTTGCAATTAATGTTTTTCCTTGCCATTTTCCCTCTGATTGTTTTAGAGGGAAACAATTAGGAGTGCAAAAGGGAAGCTGCTTAGAATGATGGGTGGGGACTTGGGATCCGCATTCTCCTCATTTCACTGGTGCACATGTTCTCTGAGGAAGGAGGATGAGAGGACTCAGTGGGGACAGAGGATAGAGCCTGTCTGTGGGAGGAAGAGGCTGATATTTACAGGAGCATAGCTCAGGTGGATATAGAGTACTGGGTCAGGAGCATGAGGATGATGCTCCTCCAAGTACAAATCAACGTGATAGGATGAACTGAGCAGGGAGAAGACATGGGTTTGTTGAGGTGGGTGTTATAGATGGAGTTGCCTTGGGGTGGGAGAGGCTGGAGGATAGTGAGTCATTATAAGAGAAATACCATGTTATTTTGGAAATAATAATTGCCCCAATTAGAGGAAAACAAAGAAGGAAAAACAGCATTAATCTAGTCTTGAGAGTACCAAAACCATAGACCATGATTTAGCTATATGGAAAGAGTGGAGCTTGACACTGATAGAGCTATGACACATTTCTTGGTGAGACTGTGAATAATTCATCTACCCCACCCCCTCCATGACTCAGTTTTCCCATCTGTTCAGTAAGAAAATGGTTTCTGCCATTTCTTTTTCACTGGAATGTTTTTAATGCTCTGAGTTTCTATAAACCCTGGCCTCACAGTTCATACCTTTTCAAGGGTCACTGGAATCCTCCTAGGTGTATTCACAAAGGTCATTCTTGAATAACTATTCTTTACACATTCTTCAGCCATGTCTAGGATGGGAGCATCTAGCCAGGCCTTCTGGGAGCTGGAGGGTGCTCTGAAGAACAGAGGGTCCAAACACAATGACTCAGTTATACCGAAGCTTAGAACAGACATCGCCCACTCTGGGGGATGGGGATAAACTTTATTTAATTAGGCTGATAATAAGTCATTCAAATTTGTCCTTATCAGAAATTCTTTTCTTTCATTTTAAAGGCCATTCCTGACTAATATTGAATTACTCTTGTACTTGTCAAGTTGACAGCCTCAAATTTGGTTCTTAATGTAATTTAGGTTTGATTTGCTATTAATTTGATTAGGATACTTCAAGGAATTGGTATATGGAAGGCTATTAGGTATATTATCAGATGTCAAGATGAAGAGTAAAGCAGTGACCTGTACATATAATTTTATGGTATACATACAAATACACACACACACACATACACATACACACACACACACACACACACACACACACCCCTATGCCATAACAATCACCAACTTTTTGTACCTGTCTCTGTGTAGCCCAGGGCTGTCTCCTTTGATCTCATCAGTGCCTTGGGTTATGAAAAAGCAGCAGCCCTGTGGTGAAAAGAAAAACTTTCTCCTCTCATTTGTGTCTATCTTGAATGTATTTGATAAGTTCTGTATCTCCATCCTCTTATGTGTGAGCTAGATTATAGGCTCCATAACCATATTCATCTGTCCATATAAGCTAGCTGTTGCCCTGCAGATCCCTTGCTATGCCATAATATTGTCCATGTGGAACTCGACCCAATACTAAGCCCTGTTTTCTTCAGAATGATAAACAGAGAGGAATGTCTTTTCACTATAACACTGTTGCTTCCCATGGTACATTACACATAGTGCATTTTCACATGTGACCACGTCACAGTTGCCCCTTCCCTAGGGCAGAGACAGTTTTTGGAAAATGACCTTGACTAACAGATTTAGTCCTGCTGGAACTCCCTCTGTGGCATTCGAATTCAGCTCTGCGCCCTCACTGTCTCCACACTGCTTCAGAGCCATTGCTCTTCTTTCTCAGTCATCAGTTCCTGTCTTGTGCGCCTTCTTCCTTATACTCTGCCCCCAGTTCTGCTCTGCTGTCCATTGACCCTGCCTTCTTGGCCCAAGTAGATATATTCAGCTCCTTCATGTTCCCTACAAGCCCACACAAATCCTTTGTTTAATCAACAAGAATTTATTAAGAGACCACCATGCTCCTGACCTTGTGTTAGGCATTCAGTAGAAATATAAATGTGGCCTCTAATGTGCTTCTAATTTAAGAATAATGGTTAACATATCTAAAAATGACAGAGCTCTAAAGAAGTTCAGAGGGAAGGCCTATTGTATGCACAGAGGCATAAAGAGAACTAAGAACCACAGGCATTTGGATTGCTTCTGAATCCACACAGCTGATCTGTGGATTGCCTGGCACAGCCCCTCTGAATATTTCTTGCTAGAATAAAGGAATGAAGAAGGCTAGCATGTTAGAAGGGCTTTGTGGAAGCAAGGAAATTCAAAATAAGTCTTGAAGAATGGCAAAGTTGGGATTGTTGTAGACAAAAAAGGAGCAAGAGTACAATAGTATTAACCAGAATAAATGCAACAAACTTAAAGGGAATGAAGAATTTTACTTGATTGGAACACATTTTATACAAACTGATGAAAAGTGTTAGAAAACACATTTATCTGTTTAGGTGGGATAAAAGGAGTACAACCTTGTTAAATAGTCTTAAAAATGCAATGGAAGGTGTTTTTGTCTGTGTGGATAGGAGCGTGGCAAGGTAAAGATGGTGCCTAAGAATCAGGATGTGTGGGGATCCAGTGAAGCTGGAGCTAGGCAAGCGTGTAAAAACACAGTGAGACAGAGGCAGACAAGAGAGCAAGTGTTGGGGAGGCTTGAAGGGGTAGACAGGGATGGATAGGGGATACTGCAATGGAAAAGGCACCACAATCCCATCACTGTCTGTGGAAGGATGGACTCAGTATGACTACAAGGTATCTAGCAATTTCATCAAAGATTTGAGAAGGAGAGATGATTTGGAAGAGGAGAAAAACAGTTTGCCCAAGCTGATACAGGGGTATCAGCTTGCTATGTTATTAGAGAGGAGTAGAGATGGCATGTTAGAAATGTAAATTATCAGCACAGAGGAGGTCTAGGAGTAGTGTAGGTTTTCAGTGATGGCTATTAATTTCTCTCATAATGTGCTAGTTAGTCCAGCTCTCACAACATTGCTAATGGTGGCATATAATAGTGCATCAATTGAGCTGTATTTCCAGTTTGGGCATCCCGTTGAGATTTAGCATCACACTGAATGCTGTTCATGTTGGTAAGACAGTCAGAGAGTGGGTAAAAATTGCTGATCACTAGGTGTTTGAGAAAACCTAGAAGGCTGTCATGGTGAATATCTCCTGCCTGTGCCATCAGAGCACCACTGCAGCTGACATGGGCTTTTCATTTGATGAGATTCCTTTGCCTTTCACAATGTGAGCTACAGATACACCTCTGTACTTCATTAGGCAAAGTAATAAGCACTTAACATTTAAACATGTGTCACAACATGCATTGGAATTTCAGGCATGAGTAGATCATATTCATAAATCCTTTGTCTTTTAGAAAAAAATTATAACTGTGATATAAACTCAATACCCATTAAGACTGTTTTCTTTTGAAATTGTTTCAATCTCATTTTTTTTTTTTCCTGACTGATTTGGGCAAAGTAGGAATGGTATTTTTCCCCTGAGTGACAGTTTGTTTTACAAAGTTATCTCAGTTCATGGGTTTTGGTATTTTAAGTGAAGTTTTCTCTTATAAAGAAAAATCTTTTACAAGAAGTTGATCAACTTTTAGGTGATTTTGCAAAGGTAAATGATTGAAGTCCTGTGAGAAGACCAAAACTTTGTGCGTTATTGTGGATAGATGCATAGTCTTTGGTATCATATCAGGGTGCTTTATGAGAAGAGTAGTACGGCTGAAAAGAGTAATGCAGCAGATTTGCATTTGGATTCTTCTTTGTTCCTCCAGGCTTTTTCCATCGGGACTTAAAGCCTGAGAACCTCCTCTGTATGGGACCAGAACTTGTGAAAATCGCAGACTTTGGATTGGCCCGAGAAATCCGATCAAGACCTCCATACACAGACTACGTATCTACCAGATGGTGAATATTTTTTTTTCTCAAAATTACTGAAGAGCACTTATTTTAAAAGATACCATTCTAGGGAGGGTTGATTGTCAATCATAAATAGTAACTTTTCACAAGAGGAGGAGTGCAGTCTGAAACACTGGTTTGTAGGTGTGTTGGCACTGGACACAGTTAAAAACTTGGATGTAAATAATTTTTAAGGAAATCCATCATGCCCCTCCATAGTATGAATAAGATGCTATATATGGACCTTCCTGAGGACAGTTTCATAAAGGAGTCATAAAAGATTCTCCAAATACCTATTTGAAAGACTATTTTATTGCTATTGCTAAAACTTTCAGACCCCAGGAGCTGATATACAGCTTGCCATGATCAAGAAGTATCTCCCACATGCTTTATTTTCTCTTTTTCTTTCTCTCCTGGCTCTCTTCCTCTCAAAGATGCTATAGAGAAGACTCTTATAGAGAAACGCTCAATAGAAAATAATGTGAATAGAGAAGGCAGCCATGGCAGAAGCCAAATCCTCTAAAAGTTCATTTACCACACTGAACTAGAAAGAAAACAAATATATAAATTTTGCTGAGAACTGCTTGCTATTTAATTTCTGGCCAGTGGAAGTGATAGCTCTCAGTTAACTTTGTCCCTCCAGGTACAGGGCTCCAGAAGTTCTCCTGAGGTCTACCAACTACAGCTCCCCCATTGACATCTGGGCTGTGGGCTGCATCATGGCAGAGGTGTACACCCTCAGGCCACTCTTCCCTGGGGCCAGTGAAATTGACACGATATTCAAAATTTGCCAACTGTTGGGGACACCAAAAAAGGTAATGATATGAAACAAAGGCCTGTGGGCCAAAGCCAATGACTTCTCATCCCTTCCCATCTTCTCCACTTTGGACTTCCTGGCAATGTTCCCTGAAATTTCTCTATTTCTGTGCCTTGCACATGCACTTTGTCTGAGTGACTGTCTCTGTGTGACCAACTCCCGCTTTTCTTCTAAGACTCCCCATCTCCCTCCCCCCACCACTGTTTCTCCAGTCTCATCTTCATCTTCTGCTGTGTTCTGCATTATTAGTGTAATTATCTGTTTATAGATCTCTCTTGGACCATGAGCTCATTCAGAGCAAAGATTTGTCTTGCATTTATTTATGTCCCAGCACCATTATTGGTATGAGCTAGACCCTCAAAAAAATTTTTAATCATTTACATGAATCATTATTGCCACTTCTTCAAGAAGGTTTCCAAAGTCCCCTGCTGGCATTTGTCCCTCCTCTGCCCATCTGTAGCTATACCTTTCTTGTGTCTTTTTTTACTCTGTATTATTGTGCTTTTAAATAAATGACCTATTTTCTCTATTAAGGACAGTGATATTCTTCTTCTTCTTCTTCTTTTTTTGATTGAGCCCAGGGTTACTTAACCAAGGGATAGTGATATTCTTAAGTGTAGGATTTATATTGAATTATTTTTTTTATATTCAGTAACATTAAATGTTCACTCAGAAACCATCTAAGTGAATGGATGTTTTAAGATATACATAGTGCCACTTGGCTTTAGAAAAAAAGAAGTGGGGGAGGTAATGATATATCAGGATGTATCTTACAGAACAGTAGTTTTAGAACTAGAAGGAACCTTAAATACCAGTTGCTCAGCACTTTCTGTTACTTGTTCTAGCCTTCAGAGTCCCACAGGTTTGATACATGAAAATGTGGGGAGCCAGAGATGGGGTAGAGCAGCTCTCTTTACCACTTGTTTCCTCAGCATGTGTATTTCAAATCATCAAGTTGGAGATATAATAATATGAAGGGTTTCAAACATTTAACTAGGAGACTGAGGCAGGAGAATTGCAAGTTCAAAGCCAGTCTCAGCAAAAGCGAGGCACTAAGCAACTCAGTGAAACCCTGTCTCTAAATAAAATACAAAATTGGGCTGGGGATGTGTCTCAGTGGTCAAGTGCCCCTGAGTTCAATTCCTTGTACCAAAAACAAGAACAAAACAAAACAAAAAGACATTTAACCACGACAAGGTGTTTTGTTTTATTTTGTCTTTTCCCCACAAATATCTCATTAGCAATTTCTAAAAGCTTTGTCTCCTGGCACACAGTTGGGGAAATACTAATTTGGTACAAACCCCAAATTTCAAGAGATGGATTATCTTACGTAAAGGTCATAAAACAATTTGGTGTGTCTCTTCTGCAATTCCCCAGAATTCGTGTTCTTCAGAGTCTCTTCGATGTGACTGTGTGTCTCATCACATACACTGCTGCCTGCTGCCACAATCACTCTGGCAGGGCAGTGGCATGATTGCCTGTCCAGATGGGCACACTTGAGGCACAGCGATTAGGTGAGAAAGACTTTCTGTTTTTTTCTTTTTTCAGACGGACTGGCCTGAAGGCTACCAACTTTCAAATGCTATGAACTTCCACTGGCCCCAGTGCATACCCAATAACCTGAAGACCCTGATTCCGAATGCTAGCAGTGAAGCAATTCAGCTCCTGAGAGACATGCTTCAGTGGGATCCCAAGAAACGGCCAACAGCTAGTCAGGTTTTTGCTCCATTTTCTGCCTTCTGATGCATTTCTTACGAAGTTCATATCTAACTCTGATTTCACATGGGAAATATTTAATATTATGGGTGAAAAATTGTATTGAATACCGCTAGTGGTACACACATAAGAACTTTAAATAGCTTGAAACTTATAGTGTATAATTAAAGAGGTTAAGGTTAAACAATCTTGTTGCTTTGAAAAATGGCATATTCACAGGATACATCACTATATATGTACAAATTAAAATAAACAGATATATGTATCTGGTCTTTGGAAAATGTTTTTAAACATATTCTCTATGAGTTAAGATTAGAGAGTAGTTTAATGGTTATCAACCATCACTGGTTGTTGAAAGGTAACCTCAGACCTTGAGAGAATGACTGATGGGATGAAGTCAGGCCGAATATCTGCAATTCCTATTTTGTAGCACTTTATGGTTTACAAACTCTTGAATATATTTTATATGATTTTTAACCTGATGAGGACTCCATGAGATAGGCATTTTTGGTTTTACCTCCATAGGTGAGAAAACCGAATCTCAGAAAGTTTAAGTGATTTGCCCTGATTGCTCATCCAGTAACTAGTATGGAGAGTGCGGCCAGCTGCAGTCCTGTCATGCAGATGGCAGGTCTCTGAATGACTTCATGCCTCCTGGCTTCTCACCCACCCTCCCCTAAGCCACTGTGAATTAAATTATGAAGAGCAGCCAAAAGAGATGTGATGCTGTGAGCTCTGACCCCTCACCTTCCTACTGCAAGCCTCCTGTTGACTTAGTTGTACCTGACCTTTTCTCAACTGGTCTCATGAACAATTAACACTGCTCAGAGAATCAAATGAATAACAGATTTTTTTTTTATTTGTTATTTTCCAATATACATGACAGTAGGGTATATTTTGACATACTATGCATACGTGGAGGACAACTTTCCATTTTGGACCAGGGATTGAACTCAGGGGCACTTGACCACTGAACCACACCCCTAACCCTATTTTGTATTATATTTAGAGACAGGGTCTCACTGAGTTTCTTAGCGCCTCACTTTTGCTGAGGCCGGCTTTGAACTCACTATCCTCCTGTATCAGCCTCCCAAGCCACAGGAATTACAGGCATGCACCACTGTGCCCAGCAACTTCCCATTCTTGTGGTTGTACATGATATAGAATTTCACTGGTCATGTATTCATATATGAACATAGGAAAGTTATGTCGGATTTATTTTACTGTCTTTCCTAATCCCATGCTCCCTCCCTTCCTTTCATTCTCCTTTGACTACTCCATTGAATTTCTGTTCTCCCCTCCCCTCATGACTATGTTTATGTGGGTTTGTTTCTGTGTCTTCTGTTCTGTTCCATTGGTCTTCAAGTCTGTTTTTGTGCCAATACCATGCTGTTTTTGTTACTATAGCTCTGTAGTACAATTTAAGGTCTGGTATTGTGATGCTTCCTGCTTCATAAGTGAACAATTCTAATCAGAGATGGTTTGGTGGGGATATATAAAGAAAATGATAATGTGATGTTAGAATTGGTGGTAGTTGGAGAGATGATAGTTGTGAGAAAAATGAAGGAGTGTAGAAAAACACTTTCCCAAGGACTCAATGAAGAAATTGCTATAATCTGGTGCCCCAGGACTCTGACTCACTCAAGAGAGTTGGAAAGCTTTCTGAAATGTCCCTCTTGTGGTGACATTCACAAACAGCTTTAGGGCAGAAAGGAAGATTGCTGATGAACCACTTTTTAACCATATATATATATATATAATTATATATATATATACACATACATACATACATATATATATATATACACACACACACCCCAGGGATTGAACCCAGGGGTACTTTATCACTGAGCCACATCCCTAGTCCTTTTTACTTTTAATTTTGAGATAGGCTTTCAAGAAGTTGCTTAGAGCCTCACTAAGTTGCTATGGCTGGCTTTGAACTTGTGATCCTCTTGCCTCAGCTTCCTGAGCCACTAGACTTATAGACATGCACCACCATGCCCAGTTGAGCCATTATTTTAAATGATGCAAGAGATGGAAAGTAAAAGATTCTATAACAGGGAATCGAGAGGAATGTGTGCTCTTAAGAATAGTATCAGAAAAGCTAAAAATACCTCGGATCAATCCAGACTTGCTTGAATGCCTAGCACTACAGAGAAGACTTTCCAAGTTAAAAGCTAGAATTCAAGCCCTCTATAAGGGTACCCATATTATTTTCCTCTGTATCTACATTTATGTATGATTGTTCCTGATGTTTACAACTATGTCCCAGAGTAATGAAGAAATACTGTTGTTTTCAACAACGTCTAGACAACCAAAGAAGGGAATATAGGTCATTTTTCAAAAAGATTTATAAGCCCCAGAAATTTAAGATTTATCCCTTGGCTATCCTGAAAACTTGATAATCCAGAACAACTGGCAACTAAACCTTGTCTTTCTGGGGAAGGTTTAACTATGACATGTGTTATACTATTGGCACTCCTGAGAGAAAAGCAGATGTACCTGCTTATTTTGAACTTGATTTTTCAGAGTCCTCCAGGATCATTATATTTGGCTCTTTCTGTTTTAATTTATTTTTTCTCTTTCTGAAGAATGAAAAAAAAATGGGTTTAGAAGTGTAAAATACCATATTTAACACAAATTGCAAGTAAGTTATAAAATCAGGATCTACATTGAACCAGGATGCTCTTCAAAAATAATAGGGCCAGGATTGTGGCTCAGTGGCAGAGCGCTTGCCTTGCATGTATGAGGCACTGGGTTCAATCCTCAGCACCACATAAATATAAATAAATAATGGTATTGTGTCCATCTATAACTAAAAAAAAAAGTATCAGCATAATTGGCTACTTTCTCCAAATAATTTTAAGTATTGCAAATAGTACATAAATTTTATGGTATCTTAGATAAGGAAAGTCATAAGAGGTGTTACTAATTCAGGATGCTCTTAGAGTTGGTTTGAGCTGGAAACCTGCAGTAAACTGGTCACATGTGTTATTGCCCAGTGATCAAGATGGTGTTTACCCTCCTGGCTAGATTTTTCTCCTAACACCTCATTTGTCATTCCAGGCACTTCGATATCCTTACTTTCAGGTTGGACATCCACTAGGCAGCACCACACAGAGCCTTCAGGATTCAGGAAAGTCACAGAAAGATGTCCTGGAAAAGAAAGGCCCACCTCCTCTCATCAAACCAGTCCCTCCAGCCCAGCCTCCAACCAAGCCACACACCAGAATTTCTTCCCGACAGCAACAAGCCGGCCAGCCCCCTCAGCATCTCATCTACCCCTACAAAGCAGAAGCCTCCAGGACAGACCACCCAAGTCATCTTCAGGAGGACAAGCCGAGCCCGCTGCTCTTCCCATCCCTCCACAGCAAGAATCCTCAGTCGGTAAGCAGCAAGAGTTTGCTGGGGAGCTTTGTGTCTCCTGATTCCTCCTTATTCCTCTTCTGACTTACATATTATGTGAAGTATTTTCTTTTTTGCTACATAAGGCCCAAATATAATTCATTTATCTTTGCAATAGCACTTGTGAAGAGAATTTGGTTCAAGGTCTAAATAGGAATTGTGAAGAGACCTTTGGTTCTAGGTCTAAATTCAAGTTTAGGCTCTGCCTCTTGATAGTGGTGCCATTCCTGGAATCAGTTGAGGTAATGGCTGAGAACTGGATTCTGCAGCCAGATCACTAGAGTTTCAAATCTTGGCCCTGGTATTTAATATCTCAGTGACCCTAAGCAAGTTATTTAGCTTTTCCACTCTTCCTCACCTCATCTGTAAAATACAAATAATAATAGCCTTTTTTGATATAATTGTTGTAAGGACTAAATAAGTTAACACTTGAGAAGAATTTAGAATGGCACCTGGCACATAGTTAGAACTCAGTAAGTGTTAGTAGTCATTGTTATTATTAATCCCTATAGACACAGTTTTCTTACCTATAAAAAGAAGATCATAACACATATCTTGTCCTCCAGGCAGTGTGGTTCATGAGGATCAAAGGTCATGAAGCTTGTGAAGATGTTTCAAAAATCACAGTGAGGCACAGTGGTGCATGCCTGTAATCCCAGCAACTCAGGAGGCTGAAGCAGTAGGATCACAAGTTCAAGGCCAGCCTAAGCAACTTAATGAGACCCTGTCTCAAAATAAAAAATAAAAAGGGTTGAGGATGTAGCTCAGTGACAAAGTGCCAATGGGTTTAATCCCCAGTACCAAAAAAAAAACAACAATAACAACAAAAAAACCCCATAAGATACCTCCTGGTTGCTATTCGTATTACTGGTATAAATGGATACTGTTAATGCTGAGCTATTAATTGGGCCCAGATCTTTCTTTTCTTGGGCTGGTTTTCAAAAGGAAACAATGAGTGTTAGATTCAGTAGAATGATAACCTGACAAGGGATTGTAGTTATCGTTAGCTTTGTAATACTATCTGAAGAGTCTAAAACTTTCATGCGAAAGAGGTACCTTTCTGTCAACTAGTATTCACTGAGTGTGGGCTCCCAACCAGCAAAATGTGGATGCTGCCAGAGGTGGCAGGGTTGGTATGTTGCTCACTTTACCCTAGCCCATGATTTGGTAGTGGTGCCTATTTGGAAATTTGCTGTGGTAGCTATTTTATAGTCAAAGATAGTGTCCAGATCTACTGAGAAAGCAAAGCAGGCATTGTTGGCACTATTTTCTATAAAAGAGCAGGATGGCTGACACCTTAGCTATAATCTCTTACGTCTCTATGGTAACAGCAGAAATCATAGTAACTCTCAGGGATGAGGCCCAAATGAGAATCCAGCCATCTTCCAAGTGTGTAAGAAGAATTCTAAGATTCCTTTTTTAAAACCTTGTGTTACATAGCTTAGTGCACTCAATGGCTGGCAACCAATGAAATCTGTCAGAGTAGGTGAGAGACAGGAGGTCTGGGAATGTATATTCCACAAGTGTCCTTTCAAATAAGCAGTGAATATTGAAGAATGCTGTGCTTCAGGATCCTGCTTTTCATTACAAAAGAAGTTCACGGTAGGAATTATTCCTGGTTGAACTCCATTAATGCCAGTATTGCTTTTTTCCTCCCCCATCCTTGTATGCACAGAAAATCCTGGCTGGCCTGGAACACAAAAATGGTGAGATCAAGCCAAAGAGTAGGAGAAGATGGGGTCTCATATCCAGGTCAACAAAGGATTCTGATGACTGGGCTGAGTTGGACGACTTGGATTTCAGTCCATCCTTCACCAGGATTGACCTGAAAAACAAGAAAAGACAGAGTGATGATGCTCTTTGCAGGCAAGTGTGCTGCTTATACCTGTGAACAGAGTGAATCTGGGATTTGTGATTATCTATACCTGTCAGATGATGTTCATTCTCTCTCTCACTCGCTCTCACTCTCTGATTCTCTGTACCTGTCAGATGATGTTCATTCTCTCTCTCTCTCTCTCTCTCTCTCACACACACACACACACACACACACACACACACACACACTCATTCTCTATGATTTAAACCATGTTTTTTTTTTTATTCAGATTTGAGAGTGTTTTGGACCTGAAGCCCTCTGAGCCTGTGGGTACAGGAAATAGTGCCCCCATCCAGACTTCTTATCAGAGGCGAGACACACCAACTCTGAGATCTGCAGCCAAACAGCACTACTTGAAGCACTCTCGATACTTGCCTGGTAACATAAGTGACTTTCCTTTACTTTGATCAGTGACAAGAAATCTTGTCCTTGGAATCACATATTCAGAAAGATTCTGTTTTGGGAGGCAAGTTCTTCCAAATTGGTTCTTGTACCAACTCAGTACACGAATATAGATAATAATATCTTGTTACTTCTCTATTTAAAACCCTTCAACAGCTTCCCATTGCTCATGAAAATTGAAATCCAATTTTTTTACCAGGTCAAAAGATGCCTCATGGTACCAACTATAGCCTCATTTTTTGCTATGCCCTGGGCACACTGACCTCTGCCAGAATTGGTAGTAAAATCATAGAAATATTTGCTGAGTCCTGGTTCTCACATTTTTACCTTGTATAGTCACCTGAGGTAAGAAATTTGGAAATATTTGGAAGAAATATAGGAAACTAGGTTCAGCCTCAGAGGAGGGAGGAATTGCCAAGAACTAAGAAACACATCTGAAGCTTTCTATCAGGTCAGGTTTAGGAGAAATTGCCAGTCAGGAAGCCGTGAGAGGAGCTTAGTAACACCCTTTGGCAGAGGGCTTAGGTTTGGTGAGTACCTGAACCTCTCTCTAGATTCTTCATGTTCTAAACTAACAAATTCATTAAATTAGTAACTATGTATTGAACATCTACTGTATGCTAAGCACTGGGAATATTACCATGAACAAAACAGCCAAGCAGGGCCCCTAGGATGCACAACCCCATGGAGCTCCTTCTCATCAGAGTCTCCACAGTGGCTTCACACAGCAGCCTGCAGACAAAGCCCTCAGGCATGTGCAGCTTGGATCCTAGTGGAGAAGAGAGACTTTGGTGCAGAGACAAGCAATAATCAGATAGTAATAAAGTGGTCAGGAAAGGCCTCTCCGAGCAAGTGGCTCTTAGCTGGGCCCCCAAAGAAGGAGAAAGAACCAAATATACAGAAAGAAAATGTGGGGCAGCAGAAATAGCAGCACAAGGTCTCGAGGCAGGAGAAGGATTAATGTGTGAGAGAAATAGCAGAGGCCAGTGTGCCAGAGCATGGCAAGAGAGGAGGCCATGTAGTGTAGAGTGTGAGACATTTTGGGGGGCCTTGGAAGAAATTTGGGTTCATTTCATCAGCAATGGGAAAGCTTGAAGGGTGTTAACTGGAAGAGTTAATTGGGTTTTTATACATCTGTGCACTGAGTGGGTGAGGGCCTGCAAGCCACAGCTGTTACCTAGACAAGGGAAGTGGTAGCCTGAGCTGGAGGTACAGTCATCGGGGAAGAGATGGGGTGGGTACATTGGGTCCCCCTGTACATTCAAGTTTTCACTGTTGGATTAAGAAAAGGGCAAATACTATCAGACTTCATAGGTATTGACATTGTGTTCTAGAGGACTGGCCTGACAGTTCCCAGGATGACCTGGGAGAAGAGATCAGATGATGGGTGTAGAGGGGTCCAGGCATGAGGGAACCACAGTAACCACAGGCAAAAAGATCAAGGAGTGAATTGGAGAGTTGTTTATTTTTGGCTGTGGGGCAGCAGGAGAAGGATAAAAGAGGTATTTAGACTTTCAGTTTTGAAATAGTTGCAGTGTCTGACATAAGTGGGACCACCTCTAAACTTAGGGGGAGAGGAATGAGTCTTGAGATCAAATTGATCAAGGTCAAAGTCAAGTCAGCTTGTTTTGGGAGGCTTTGGATGTGAGGGACCAGAGTTTGTGAGAGTTGGTGGTGCAAACCAACATCATTAGCATGTGACAGTGAGAATGGTCCAGGAGAGGTAAGAAGATGAAACCTCAGAGGACAAAGAAAGAGGAGAGCAGCAGGTTGCAGAGCTGGGGTGTGGGGATGGGGAAGAGGAAGGAAGAGAACCTGGACAGGTGACAAAAATGAAGTTGTCTGGAAAGGGGGAAGATTAGACTGCCCAGGACCACTGAAGCCAGGACAGTGCCAGAAGGTCAAGACAAGGGACAAGAGATCTTTCTCAGGCTACCCAAAAATCAGACACATACTAACCTCCTTTGCCCTCTGTTAGATGATATCATCAGTCAGATTTTGCTTTGATTTTGCACCATAGGTAGTTTTTGATCAGTTGGGTTCAGTTTCATTTGTGATGTCCAGTACAAGATTAAATGTGTATTTTGCATTTTAAATAAACTGCATTGTGTATAAATAAGGCATGTGACATGATGTTACATGTATCTAGTACGAAGTGGCAAATTAACACCCAGCATCTCATGTCATTAGCTTTTTTCCCCCAGTGGCAAGAAAAGCTAGATTCTACTCATTAGTACAAATCCCGTGTGCTGTACAATTTTATTACCTATGGTCCTCATGTTGCACATTAGATCTTTAGACTTGTTCATCCTACATATCTGCTGTATATGACCTACATCATCTCCCTATTTTTTCTCCTTATTCCACCCCTGGAAGCTACCACCCCTGGGAACTACTATGTGTGGTCTCTGCATATTTTTTTTTTTGGTAGATCCCACATATAAGTGAGATCATGCATTATTTTTTCTTTCTGGCTTATTGCATTTAGCATAATGTCCTCCAGGCTCATCCATGTTGTAGCAAATGGTAAAATCTCATTCTCTTTTAGGGATGAATAATATTCCATAGTATAAATGTATTATAGTTACTTTATCCATTTTGTCTGTTGTATTTTGCTTTATAAAACCATTTCTTCTCTATTAGGAATAAATATAAGAAATGGCATGCTCCCAAATCCAGGCAAAGACTTTATTCCATCTAACCCATGGTCCAGTTCTGGTTTGTCTGGAAAGTCTTCAGGGACAGTATCAGTAATCAGCAAAATAAATTCAGGTGAGTACCGGTTACTAATCCCTAAATGACAAAAAGCAGATTCTCCGTATGTGGCTAAGTGGGTATAGAGAGAGATGGGACAAGGCCTCTTTTGTATAGGGACGTGGACCTTTTTTCCAACCCTTCCCTCTTCTCCCTTTCTTGGCAGCATACCATGGGGCTCAGCCAGCCCCCATGGGGGTCTGCCCTCGAGGATAGCTATGGAGTGAGGCCTGGTGTACTGTGGGCAGCGGCCTTCTGAGGTAGATGTTGAGCATGGGGCCATTTTCCTTGTTCCCGATGGTACTTTGTTGATGACCCAGCCTTAGGCCTAGGACATCAGCATCCCTGCTGGTTGGAAGGTGGACTGTTTAGAAAGCCGTCCCCATTTTTTTCTGTTAAATGAGTCTTTCAAATTGACTGACCCCATTCTCAGTAGACCTATTTGCCATGTTGTGTTTCCCCTGCCACGTGCTGTTTCCCCTGCAGTATGGCCAAATAAACATCTGGAGTTCACTTTCCCCACTTTTACCCATTAGGGTTCCTTTATTTTTAAGGAGCACACACAAAAAAGTAGAAGATAATATATCAATACCCATGTACCCACCACCTGGTTAAAGAAGTCAAATTTAGCATATACCTGAAGCCCAGTGGCTAGGTCTTTCCCTCCTCCATTCAGACTGCCTCACACCAGCCTGATTTAGGTGTTTATTATTCCTGTACATTAAAAAAAAAAAAAGTGTGAGATTCATATGTTTCACATGTTTTCAAGTTTAAATGAACACAATCCTGGCTCACCACTTCAATCATTTTAATAAATGTGTGTGTAGCAATTATATATGTACATATATGTGTATATCATTGTAGATTATATGACTGTATAATACTATAACTTATTATACTAGATCATTATTTATTCTTTCTCTTCTTGACAAACATGTAAGTTGTTTACAGTTTTTACTATTAGAAGGAGTGCTGAAATGAACAGTATTGTATCCTATTTTGTGCACGTATGCAAGGGTTTCTCTGCTGGAATAAACTCTTTAGGTATACTTATCTTTGGCTTTACAGATATTGCCAAATTGCTCTCCAGCAGGGTAATGGAGTTGCACTTCATCCTTGATGCTACTTGGTACTGTCAAATCTAAAATTTGTGCTAAATCTGATGAATGTGAAATGGTATCTTACTGTGGTTTAAACTTGCATGTCTTGTTTACTGATGGGGTTCATCATCTTTTTTGTGTGTTGATTCTACTTTTTTCCCCTTTTGTTATTTCTTCAAATTCTCTTCTTGGTTTTCTTCATATCTTTCTTATTCACCAGAACCGCAAAATGTGCTCCAGCTGACAGCATAGTTCCTCACACATGCATTCCAGGCCATTTTCCCATTCTGCCCTAGGCAATGGCTGAGAGCCTTCCATGTTATACAGACAGAGCAACTGCACCACTTATTAACTCCTCCCCAGGGATGGAACTTCTGTTCATGTAATGGCCAGGAATAACATTTTTTATCATTCTTTGTGTACCTTTAAGCCCTAATAATAAACATTATAGATATTCACCCACCCAATAGTAATTGATTATTGCTATATACAAGTTATATCATTAACCTACTGGAACACAAAAATGAGAAGCACATAGTCCCTGCCCTTAACACATTTACATGGAAATGACATCAATGACAAATGTAATTCATATTTTTATTAAGGAGTAATTTCCTGATTATCAGTAAGAGTATTTAGTGTTTAATTATTTATAATACCTAAATAATTAAGACAATCTTTGTGTTGCTCAGGAAGCAAATGGTTAACTTAGTTATGTTAAGCTGTAATTTTGAATTTATATACTGACATGGAAGGATACTACATGAGTGGAAAAAGCAAATTTCAGAACAGGCTAAGCTTACTTTTACAAAAAACAAAGGAATATGTTACATATCATTTCTCTTTCTTGTTTCTTTTTCTGATACTGGGGATTCAACCCACTTACCACTTAACTACATCCCCAGTCCTTTTTATTTTTTATTCTGAGACAGAGTCTCACTTAAGTTACCCATGCTGGTTTCAAACTTTCTATCCTCCTACCTCAGCCTCCCAAGTATCTGGGATTATAGGTGTGTGCCTGGCTTCAAATAATCCTTTTTTCATTTAACAAGCAACCCCCTACTTGGTTGCCAGCTATGGGAGCAGCACTGTCTTTGCCCCTCCTTACCTTCCTGAGAGTGTGGCATGGTGGAATGCTCAATTCAGAATTCACTGTTTTCATCATGCTTTTTTTTTAACCCCTAAAAGTAAAATTTTAATTTTTTATTGTTCTGCACAGCTGTCCTTTAACTCTGTTGGTGTCATATGAATATGCCTTTGTAGTAACAAGCTTTTGCTTTTGTAAATTAGTTGGTTCCAGCTCTACAAGTTCTAGTGGACTGACTGGAAATTATATCCCTTCCTTCCTGAAAAAAGAAATCGGTTCTGCTATGCAGAGGGTACACCTAGCATCTATTCCAGATCCTTCCCCAGGTAGGTTCTACCTCGAATTATTTATAAATTGATTCAATAATTAACTGAACAATTGCTTTGTGCTAGTCCTGTTGTAACCCTGAAATGAGCTAGAATGTGCTAGAACTCCTGGCCCTGGGAGAACTTGCAGACAATGAGTGAGTTGAATAAGTACAACATGTAGTAAGTCAGATTCTCATAAGTACTCAGGAAAAAATAAAACAGGCAGGAAGTGTAGGGATGGTGGAGGTGGGAGTGTGGGGTGCAGATTGCAGTTTTAGGCAAAGGAGCCAAAGAAGATCTTGCTGCAAAGGAGTTATTGAGTAAAGATCTGAAGGAAGCATGAACAAGCATGCAAAATGGGTAAGACTGTTGCAGACATGGAATTCTTGAGTGCACAGGCTTTGAAGCAGAACGTGCCTGGCAAACTCAAGGACTAGCAAGGAGGTCAGAGTGCAAGAGGAGCATGAGTGAAAAAGTAGCAAGAGGAGGACAAGGGTGACTGAGAGGCCCAAGGGTATGAGGCCCTGGGGCAAGCCACTCACTCTCTGTAAGCATGTTTTCACTGACTGAAGGACAAGGGAGCCACCTGAGGCTTTTGAGCAGAGTAACATTATCTGACCACCATCTTCACAGTCTTGCTCAGGCTTCTGGTTGTCATTTGAATAAGTAAGAAGAGGGTTGGGAACAGGAGTCTTTTCTAGTTATCCAGGCAGGAAATGATGCTAGTTTAGGCCATTGTATCAATAGTTGATTTGGTAAAAGTGGTAAGTGGGATCTGAGAAAAAGAAAGGAGTCAAGATTGACATCTGTACTTTTGGCTTGACAACTCTACTTAACTGAGAAAGAGAAGACTAGAGAAAAAGACAAATGCTCTTTTTGAATTTCTCATTTTCTGACATTTTTGTTACCCTGAGACATTTATCTGTGCTTTGATTGTTTGTGTCTTTTATCATCAGACCAGCCTTTCTCTTCCATTGCAGGTTATTCTTCCCTGAAGGCTATGAGACCACATCCTGGGCGACCTTTTTTCCACACCCAGCCTAGAAGCAATCCGGGGTTGATCCCACGGCCTCCAGCCGCCCAACCAGTGCATGGCCGGACAGACTGGGCTTCCAAGTACCCATCTCGGCGATGACTGTCTCAGCAACCAGGCCCTTGGTCTGGGAGAGCAGGACACTTTCCCTAGACTGACTGTGTTCCACCCACAAGAGACATGTTGATGATACAAAGGCAAACCAACACTTTATTCTTCTGAACTAAGACATTTCAATATTCTTTTTTAAAGTTTTTTTTAACATTGATTTGAATGCAGTACCTTTTTTGTATAAAATTATTTTATTCTAAAACTGGGTCCCATTATTTTCTTAAACAACAGCATTTTGTACATATGGGTTATGTTTTAGCATTTTATACAGTTCAACTTTGTAATGACCTTTTTAAAGATTAAGTGTTTTTCCTTTGGGGTTCCAGGTAATATTTTATACAGATTTTGAAAAATGTAATACTATTGATGCAGTATTGCAATAGGGGTGCAATTTTAAGGCTATGACTTAAGGGTTATCTACTCCATACGTGCGAGTATTGTGAAGTGATTACATTTAAATATGGCTTGTTAGGTGCTTCAGGCTTTCTTGGACTGACCTTAGGAAAGTGATCCTTTGCTTTTCTTAATATCCTGTCATCGGTTTGATTTTTTTTCATACCACGGTTATAATTCATTTTGTTTTATTTTTGTTCCCCAGAACAAAGAACTCTACATAAAATTTTTTTGGAAATTTCTACAACACCCTTTAATGTGATTGCAGATATCCAAATGAATCATACTAAGCCATCACATTCTATTTTCTTCCATTTTTGAAATCAAATTGTATATATGTATACACACATACACAAATTGTAGATATATAAAAGGGCAGCTTTTGGGGTCAAATGGTTTTCAACATAAAGGGATTCACACAGCACAGTCAATTAAACTTATATGCCCTTGCCAAGATGCATGATCAAAAATACCAAGTTTCAAAGCAACAGAAAAATTTTTATTGTAATAACTGAGATGGAATCTTGCATTCAGCTCAGTTCTCTAGACATGGTTAGGAGCAGCTCATAAATAATCTATCCTAGCCAAATTCTCAGGACAATTTGGGGAAGAGAAAAGATTTAGAGCAGGGGTCCCACTGACCTAGGAAACCACGGTTATCTTAATGTTAGTGTCCATAGTGTGCCACATTTGAACTCCTAACCTGCATAGTTTCTTTCAAGAGTGAGAACTCTATTTGTTGGACAGAGGCTATTCCATTGAGAGGAATGTTTACAGCAGTTTTGCAAATGACAAAGCTAGTTTGGAGACAGAAAAAGACAGAAGATCCACTCCCATCCATCTCTGTATAGTGTAAGCACTTCTGCCTCCCCTCACAGTTACCTCAGAGGCAAGAGGGACAGTCATCACCAGTGAATGCGATAGTGACCTCAACAGCATTATCGTTTCACATTCTCCCAGGGCTCAAAGTACTCTTTTGGTTCCAGGTTCTAGGATACAGCAAGCTGAACCATATGAAGTGATCTAATTGGTAGGTTAAAATGATTGGTAGGTTAAGTGAATGTAGATACTTTCATATGGTTCAAACTAGTAAGTTGGCAAATGATTGCTTGGTGTATTAGTGATATGTGGCAGCCTGAACACATTATCATGACTTCCAAAGGGCTCTAACCTAAAATCAGGGAGTAATTTATGCTTTGGAGAATCTGACTCAGAAATGTACTTGACCAAGCACTATGATGGTGAAGGCCATGAGAGAAGGACATAATGGATGTGAATTTGACAGATAATATTTTCCTGTTAACAAGCTGGCGGCAAAGCTTCAGAAAATGTATATGCAAGCACAACTTGAAGCTGAATTAATTTCTGTATTATATTCTTAACTTGTTATCTAAAGCAACAGAAAATGTGTTTTCAGAGATGAGTCCTTTACTGTGAGGTTAATATTTATTTTTCTCTTTGTATTATATATAAAAGGTAAATTAATCTGAAACCTTACCCAGCTTGCTGGAAAGCTGGTTTTAAATTGTAAATACCTACCCCTTAGAAAAACTAATGGATTGTCAATGCCATATTCTCTGTATTCTAGCTTGTGTTAAGGTCAGTACTTTATTTTAAATTGAAAAACCTAGTTACCTGGTTATTACACATTGTAAAATTGTTTTCCTAATACTTTTATAAGGTTCACCTTCAGAGAATACTTCATTTTCTTCCTTTTATCTTTTCCTTAGTTTGCTAGCAAACACCTTCCCCTGGGAAGCTAAACATGTTTAGCAAGTCAAAAACCTGATGTGCAGTTGAGAAAACTAGATTACTGAAAAAATAAACTTTAAAGAGCTAGCAAAATCCCATATAGTATTCTTTGCTATCCCCCAAATAGGTAAGGGACAAATTGTATATACAAGCTATATAGTATAAAAGGAAATAGGGACCATTTTTTGTTAAGTGAAAATAAAATGTTACCTGTTGCATATATTTTTATTTGCTATAGAATTATAAAATGAAAGCAAGACATCAACAGGAGTGATGAGTTCTTATGTACCTATCCAATGACTATACCTCATTTACAGTCAGAAAGCTTTCGGGATGTCAGATATGGTACAGGGTGGCTCTTGTTCCACGTCCAAAGGTTTGGTGACAGTGGTGTGCTGAGGGGCACAGCAAGCACAACAGGGAAACTGCATTTCCATAAAAGCTATTCTACTCTTGGCATGATTATTCATTTTATATTAAAATTCCTTTCATTACCAAGTCCTCACCCAGCTCAAGTATGGTAGGATTTACATAGGCAGAAAATTGAGCTTGAAACAATTTTTTTGGACACATTGCTTGCCTAAAGGACCACATAGATCTAAAAAAGTGACACTGTGTCATCTTCTGAAATTATATGAAATTGAATACAATCAAGGCAACGTGAGTCAAACAAAATCATTGTTTCATTTTTAAGTGCAAAAACAGGTACTGTTGAAATTAATGTGCACCTGGTTTTCGTATGAAGTAGCACTTTCTTTCATCATCAAGCCATTCAATTGTGCCATGTAGAAGAGGGAGAGGAAAGAAAGGCAGACTGTGTGCTTCAGCTCGGTGTATGGCCAAAAGCAATATGTTTATAATAAAATGTTTGACATACTAATTGTTTTATATCATTTTAAGCATACTGTAGCAACTTGTTTGTTTACTATATGTGCTTAGTTTTTAGAATTATTTTTACAATTTCCAACCAAATGTACTGTACATTTATATAATTTATTGTGAGGACCTTCTCATGGAAACCATCAAGGAGACAAACTGGGGGCAAATATCACATTAATCTGTATTATCGATTTCTTAAAGACACTGTGCTAATGTGAATTTAAAATGACCTGAATAAATATATCTGTTATCTCAATACAGATAGCAGTTTGGTCACCTGAGTTGATTACAATGGAGTAACTGAGAATATATTTATTTATAAAGCAAACATTCATAATAATGAGAAGATTGGAGGGCAGAAACCACTAAAGCAAGATCATTCTGAAATAAAATGTCATTTTTTGAATAGTTTGTCCTAAGGTGTTTAATAATGTTAATTTTATGTAAGGAAAATTCTCCTGCTCCAAATAAAGTTACAGTTTAACAAAAAACTGATTTGAGTATTTTGTTCCTGTTCTTATATTCTTCATCAAAAAAACTTTGAGGATGGGGCTGGTATAGTGCTTGCATATATAGCATATGCAAGGCAATGGGTTTTATTCTCAGCGCTACGATAAATAAATAAATAAGAATAAAAATGTAACTATAGTAGTTCCTAATTTTCATATTTTAGTTAGTTCATTTGGAACTTTGATACTTATAACTTCTTAATCCTAGTATAGTGTTACTGCTGTGAAATTGGAAGCATACACTTGGAGTAGCAATATGAATATTTATTTTGCAATTAAAGGATTTTTAAAATTTTTAATTCATTATATATAACAGCGGAATGCATTATAATTCATATTACACATAGAGCACAATTTTTCATATCTCTGGTTGTATTCACACCATTCATGTCTTCATACATGTACTTAGGGTAATGATGTCCATCTCATTCCACAGTCTTTCCTACCACCATTCCCCCTTCCTTCCCCTCCCACACCTATCTAGAGTTCATCTCATCCTCCCATGCCCTCCCCCCCATTATGAATCAGCATCCTTAAATCAGGGAAAACATTCAGCATTTGTTTTGGGGGGGATTAGCTAACTTCACTTAGCATTATAGTCTTCAACTCTATCCATTTACCTGCAAAGGGATTTTTTTTTTTTTTTTTTTTAATTTAGGCTTTAGCTAGTTAGGTGAATGGGGACATTTTTTAAAAAGCTGATCAAAGCAAGTTTTGTTGCTGATTTCATCATGCTTGTTTTTTTTTTCCACTGCAAATTTATATATAACTGAAACCTTCAAAAGAAATTCATAATTCATGAACCATATATAGAATGCTACAGGAAATTCATTTTCTAAACATTCTTTGAATCCTTGAGAGATTTTGTAGGAACATAATCTACCAATCAAACATAAGGATGAAGCCCTAAATGTGTCCCTCACATTGGAACATGGCTGATCCCTATGGTACCTCAATGAGCATTCGTCTAAACTTTTGGCAATCCTGACCCTTCAAAAGTCTGGCACCTTTCAAGATCTCAGGCATCCTTTCATTCAGGATGAAAACCTACTATTAGAATGGGTCTGATATCAGGCAGTTATAGCTAAGGTTGAATTTAAGCCAATAATTTCCCTCTTCCTGGTATATTTACCTATAAAGCTTCCCTCAAACAAATTTAAATCTCTCAATTTTTGTTCAAGCCATTTTACATGCTACTGAGTGAGCAGGTGAAGGATTAAGGCTGAGAAGACTTGCCAAAAGTACATCAGATAAGCGGGTAGAGACTCAGATTGTCTCAGATCCAGAGCAACTCCAAGGTCTCCAAAAATAGTATGAATTCATGGGCTTCCATGAATAAAAGACAATGGCAGAATTATTATAACAGGATTTTTCATTTCTCTATACATCTGTATAATTATAGGTGCTTATGGTACTGCCTTACATACTGGTGAGAAGATTGGGAGGATGATGTTACCCATATTTTATGAGATTAGACATATGGAATTAGCATTTTTTTAAGATTAAGAACAATAGTCAAATATCAGCAATTTGATAAGATTAAAACAGGTAGAACTCAGCAAAGTCGAATAATGACACTGTGCATCTAGCTCAATTAAGTAAATCCCTGTATAAAGATTCACTA